TTACAACTTGTAGGTTATGCATGAGATTACCTAAATGCTTGAATCATGTTTTTGTGAATAAATATGCTTGAACATGATATGAATGATAAGTAATGGACTTGACCATGAATTGAAACCATATTGATGAATATGGAGTCATGTGAGATAAAAGTATGCTAATATGGTAAATTGACCTTCCAACTCATGTATGAATGTTATGTGTATGTAAATGTATAATTGCATGATGATGCTTAGCACATGGGAGGCTGCCACATATCTATTGATATGGAGGGGCTACCATTTATGATAAATGAGTTGTAGGAATAATCTTAATAGTATTGTGATGCTAGTTAAGGATTGTTCAAAATGTTGATAGAATCAAATTTAAGGTTTGAGTTGTTTGTGATGAACTTGAATAAGATTCAAGTGTCAAGTGTGATTGTATGAAGTAGGAGATCTATGGTGTGATTATATGAAGTAGGAGATCTATGGTGTGATTATATGAAGTAGGAGATCTATGGTGTGATTATATGAAGTAGGAGATCTATGGTGGGATTGTATGAAGTAGGAGATCTATGGGGTGAATACATGAAGTAGGAGATCTATGGTATGATTATATGAAGTAGGAGATCTATGATGCGAGTGCATGATGATGTACTCGAGCCTAACTCTAGAAATGAGAAGTTATATTAGGGTTGGACCCTATGTATTGTCGTGACTATTAGTCACGGGGTTTGGGAAATGTTTTATAACAAACACGGGCCTTTGAGCCAACTACTTGACTTTATATAAAGTAAGTATGTATTTTGAAAGGGGTAATCTAGGATTACGGCCTATACTATATTATCACCCTATTTGAGGGTCTTGTGTGTGAAATACTTGTTGTATATCTATTAGATGCCTGCCACACCAGCACTTTATAGCCCTATAGAGTGCTGACCCCTTCGGGGGCGTCCCACCACCATTTTTCAGGTTGAGGCTAGAGCTTGCTTCCTGTGCTCGTTGCTCGAGAGATCATATAGGAGGGAAGACTTGGTTCGTGCTTCCTCCATTCTGTTTTTAAACCTTTCTAAACATGCTCATGGATATTTTACTATGGAGCCTGCGTGCTCATGAAATGCCTTGTGTGGCCCTTTTGTTTTAAACAATGTTTCCGCTGCGTTATGAATTACTTATTATGTTTGTTTATGGATGTATATGTGTGAATGATATTCAAGACGCCTTGTATAATATGAATGTGTTGGACTGCGGTTGACTATTCGTATTGTACGGCGGGTTGTTGACGTGTCCGGATAGGTCCGGGGCGTGACAATTAAGTTGGTATCAGAGACTTAGTCCATAAACTTCATAATGAAGTCTCAAAACTCTCTATTTCAAAATGATTTTGAAAACCATGAGCATAAACGTTTTGTACTTAAGAACTTTTGGTGTTTGAGTTGCAAGGTCTCTAATTGTTAAGATGGCGCCCTTAACGATTGGTATGGCGGCGACTTGGCCCAAGAGATGTCTTAAGTACCTATCTGTCAGTTGACATTTGAAACGAGTCTAATGACTCATTCCAATTATTTCTTTCAGCGATGGAGGGTGATGGTGGTACTATGAATAGGGAGAACTCGGAAGGGTTTGCACCGGGTGGAACTGGGCATGCCAACCGAGAAAAGCCCGTAGGAATAAAGGTTCACGAAATTCTAGAAGCTCAAATCGTGAGTGGCGGTCATGTTAGGACCAATGAAGAATCACCTTGTCATGGCAAAATTGAAACACTCAAGGCTTCGGGTGACGAGGGAGATGATTTGAGTGATGAGAACCTTGATGGTGCACCCATTGAACAAATGGGCATGGTCATAGATTGGCTTCAACGTGAACGTGTGAGGCTTATACAAAAACACCAAGCTAGGCAAGCTGAGGGCATACCGTTAGTAAGGAAAAGGAGGTGGGGAGACAACGATTCCCAAAGACATTCAAGAAGGACAAACGTTGAGGGTGACAAAACCTTCAGGGCGCAGACACTATCACTTGAGTGGAGTCGGGGCTCGGGTGGCCAGAACTCGAGGTCAAAGGGTCCGAGGGTACCTAGGTGCAACAATTGCAAGAAACACCACTCGGGTAAGTGTCACGACCCTCCTAGGTGCTATCATTGCACAGAGGTCGGGCACACGAGAGTGAGCTGCCCACAAATTGTGCAAAACCAAACTTCGGGGTCAAGTGGTGGAACTACAAGAAATGAAAACCAAACCGAGGTTTCTCAAGGGAGCAGGGGACATGGGGGAGCAAGCACGAGCAACGCGCCATCCCTGAACCCGCTTGCCCAAAGAACCCACAACTGCTCGGCCCCAATCACCAACAGATTTAGAACAAAGGCAATTTGCTCCATAATACCGGATCTTGTGCCCAGACTCCAACTCTTGGCTACAATAGCACGTCAGCCTTCATCTCTGAGCAAAAAAAATTTCAAACTTAAACTTGTTACACCGATGAAAGCTTCAGGATGGAACCGGCTTAATAAACAAAGCTAAATGATCACTAGGAGCCCCTTCGGCGATGCCGCCGCTACTCTGCCAAAAATGTCCAACCAATTTTATGACACACAAATTATATCCAATTTCCCCTCTACCTAGTTCGGGGACCCCCGCCATTGTCCCCAAGTGTACTGGTAGCCCTGAAAAGGAAAATTCTGCAAACCACACTCCCATACCGGTTCACGAAATGCCCTCAACAACCAAGGCGGATGCGGAATACGACCACGTTTTTCGGAAGCCACCATGAGATCATTGAAACCTCCCATGGCAATCCAATGAATATGAGGTGCCGAATGTAAAGATTTTAATAGGATCCAAGACTCCCTCCTTCTACTCCACTGTGGACAACCGTAAAAGCTAGTGAAGCGCCACACATGATATCAATAAAATCAGAACGCTTATACCAAATCAAAATAACCAGAATAATTTCTATCCCTAAATTTATAATGGTCAGAACGTTACTCACTCTTTGGCCAGAGATAGAAATGTCCGCCCTGAATTGAACAAATTGTTTTGCTAATCACACGAGATGTTTGGAGTTTGATTTGGCCATAAAATCCTTAATTCTTCAATGCATGAGAAACACGAACAATTATTAAAATGGAAAATTGTCAAATAAGTCTCGTATTATATTCAAAAACTCAATTAGGTCATCATATCGAATAATCACCCCATCAAGCACTCTAACTTATAAGGTGTTCAAATTGGCTTTTTAATAGGTTAAACACCAGTTATGTGATAAATATACACCCTTTTCTTTTTCTTTCACCCTTCCTTCTCTCCCTAGTTTGTCTGCTCGTGACGAGTTCTCTTCCTTCATTGTCCCCACCATGCCTTTCGCTCATATGATTCATCGCCCCCACTCCCTCTTCCTCTCATCTGGGTTGTCATTTCGATGACTGGACGCAACCGACAAACACCGTCACACATGGTTCTCCAATGTCATATGTATATTACTGACACTTTCTTGCACAAAAGAAGGGTAGTATTGTCCAATCAAAAAGCCACCATTTACATTGATACTCACCTTAGACAAGAATAACACGAACGAATTTAATGCATTGCAACCCTTTCTTTGCGAGAACGGCTGTGATTTATTTGGGACTAAAGGACAGTGTTCCAAATATTACACATATCTTCATGGAAAAATCAAATCGATGATGATGTTGAACTTAAAAACAGGAATACACAATTAGAAAACCAAGAGACGAATCAGACGACGGCGCCCAACTTGTGGTTGGGAGAAGAGGATTTGTCACCGACGGTAGAACCACATGAGCGGACGAACGAGGGAGAGAGAAGAGAGAAAGAAAAAACTCAAAATAAATATAATTTTGTGAATCAACGTGATGAGATATAATGTGCTATATGGTTAACACAATTGCATCCTTTAGAGGCAAATATGGTATACTTGCAACAAATATGTTTCTATCACACCTTTTATTTATGCTAAGAGGTCTATATGACATTCTGATTTTTAAATTTCCTTATATATTAACTGTTTAGACCACACCTTGAAGGTATATGAGTTTGAAAAATAACCAGCATAATTTAAAACTAAACATTTATACTATTGCACATATAATTCTATATCACATTTAAATAAGACATCGTGTAAATCAATTTTTAAACTCTCTCTGACTCATTAGCTGTCAACTTTTTCTTTTTTGATTGCTTAATTTTTTTTGTCACTTTTCATTAAAGTAACTCATTTATGGTGACACTCATTTCTTTCTCCTATGCACAAACATCCATCACACAACTTTTTCTTTTCTTGTTACTCAACTAAAATATAAAATATCACATTCTTATCCAATATGTTTATTTTAGTCATATTTCATTATTATTTCTTTTTATACGAGGAATTACTATTTACAAACATGCTATCATACCTCTAAAAGGAAATGAGAATATAAAAAGAAAACTAAACAACCATACACCTTGTGGTTCGATGACATCAATGCGACACGCTCAAGGCAGATGTCAAAAGTTCGAAACTTATCTCACTCAAGGATGTTGACATTTAACAGAGATACTATAAGAATAGAGGAAAGTTGAGCAAAAAAGGGAAACTAAACAAGTACACAAAAAATTATGTAAAAAATTCTTTAGGAAATGAGAATAGAAAAATGAAACTAAACAAGTACACAAAAAAATTATGTAAAAAATTCTATTAAAAAAATTACAATGCTGAATTATTGAGTAGATGCTTGGGTTCATAGTGGTTTTCTTGTAAACTACTCCGTATGATATCCAATAATAGTAAATAAGTAGTGCCCACCCCCCTATAGTACAAAAAGAAACTAGTGAAAAAGGAGAGAATATAAAAAAAGAGAAGGTCTTGTAACATTCGTACCAAAAAGAAAACAATAAAAATTATTCAGACACCATATCATTCTAAATTTCTTTTAAATTTAAATAATTAGTTGTTCAAAGGGGTAGAGTACAAAAAGAAAACAATAAAAATGAAAAGATAAAAAGAACAATTGGATTCTGCTCAGATCAAAAGCATGCCCTTTCCGCCTGAAATTGGATTCAAAATCACACCTCCGGCCCCATCCACAGCTCTCCAACGGCTAATTCTCTCCTTGCTCTCTCTATCTTCCCGGCCGGTTTCGCCCGGTGTAGTGTCTAATCTTCATTCTCTCCCTCCTCCTCTTCTCGCTTCTGTATCCCTGTCGCAATGAAGCCGATAGTACAACCGAGAAACGCCATCTTGAGGGAGAACCAGGAGGTCTTGGTAGCCTCTCCCAACCCTAGCCCTGCAAAGCAGTTGCAGAAATGGCCGACACCGCCGCTACCGAGTTCAGGTAGCAGTAGCAGGAAAAGATCTTCCAAGGAGAATGCTCCGCCGGCATCAGATCCGTACTCGTCACCTTCGACTGGTGCGAAGCTTAAGAGCCCGCTCCCTCCTCGGCCGCCGAACTCGAATCCTCTGAAGCGCAAGCTTATCGTCGATTCGGCTGGGTCTGAGACTGCCGTTCCTGCGTCATCCGACTCTGGAGTAAAAGTAATTTATTTGATTTTTTTTTTTCATTTGTCGGTTTATTTGCATTTGATTTGTAAGTTGTCATTATTTCATCACTATTTACTTATTTCTGAACTCAGATTTTCAGAGTAATATATTCTTTATTAACGCCATTCTAGGAACTGTATGGTTCATGTTTATTGGTTACGCTAGAAAGAAACCCCATCAGTTTCAGCTGCCACAGTTCCTCCTAAATAACTTGGATATGTACTATCGTCTGCATTCTTAAATTGTTGATTACATGTTGATCTAGATCCGGTGACCCCCCTAAAAATTGCATTTCAACTTCAAAAGTTTAGATTGTATTGCGTATCATGATAACTTGTAAACAAGCAAGAAATCAGCAGGTGAGCGGAAGTAATTTAGTTTTCTTTCATACAGTTCTGACTACAATCTTTACCAGGTTATAGTGAGAATGAGGCCGCCAACTAAAGACGAGAATGAGGGAGATATGACTGTTCATAAAACCTCTAGCAATTCTCTATCGATAACTGGACACATATTTACATTTGATTCTGTGGCAGACACTCAATCAACACAGGCAAGCTAGCATTATGGTTATGCTTTCATTTTCTTTTCATAGTTATATCAAAATCGTGAAAGAAGAGAATGTTCAGATGTTTCTCATTGTTTATTCCAGCTCGATATATTCCAGCTTGTGGGGGCACCCCTTGTTGAAAATTGCCTTGCAGGATTCAACAGCTCTGTCTTTGCTTATGGACAGGTATGCTGTATACGATTCTCATAACTATCTCTTATAGATTGTATATCTACGTTAATGCACTTTTCTGTCAATTTGGTGGCATTACAATGCTGAATAAGTAAATAATAAACCTTGACTGAATTTACTAGACTGGGAGTGGGAAGACATATACAATATGGGGGCCAGCCAACGCCCTGTTGGAGGACAAATTATCAACTGACCAAGGCTTGACACCACGTGTTTTCCAGCACCTTTTTACACGAATTGAGCAGGTGAGATTCCTTTTTATGTTCAGCTTGTGAGATTCAATATGGCTATTTTACTCATTCTGCATGCATAAGGTGATCTAATTTTGTTCTCCAGGAGCAAATTAAGCATGCTGGCAAAGAGCTCAAGTACCAGTGCCGTTGCTCTTTTCTTGAGGTGGGTTTCTACATATATGATACTTTTTCATTACAAGAATGCCTGTAATTTTAAACAATTCTTTTTTGTGTGTAAAAATTTCAGATTTACAATGAACAAATCACTGATTTGTTGGATCCAAATCCAAGAAACCTACAGGTAAAAATAACGAGGATTCCCATACTACCCGGTTTTATCTGTGTTGGCATTTCTCAAAATGGGGCTTCACTTTCAGATTCGGGAAGATGTAAAAACGGGTGTATATGTTGAAAATCTGACGGATGAGTGTGTTTCTACAATGAAGGATGTAAAACATCTTTTGTTAAAGGTTTGCAATACTTTACTACCTCTGTTATGTTTTCTATTATCATGAGAATTACTTCATATCTAGGTTATTTTCTGTGAAAACATAAAAGTTGGCATGTCATTATGCTTCTAATGTAACCATCTCGCATCTTAGTTACACAAGTGACACGTTTTACCATTAAAATCTATCCAAAAAATATTCAGCTATTGCAACAACTTTAAGACCCCGTAAGTCCTTAACACATCCATATTGAAGATTTCATTTCCTGAGAGGTTGACAGCCATGCTTCAAATAAACTGTTCACTAATTTGATTTTGCACTTCCATGCTCATGTAACAGTGAATGAATTGAAATTTGAATGTTTGACATAGATAGGTATGGTATTATGCTTCTTATGTAACCATCTTGCATCTGAATTTTGCAACTGACATGTTTTACCATTAAAATCTATCCAAAAAACATTCAGCTATTTTTTTTTAAATACCAGTCACTATGTCCATGTGAAAATAGTAAACATATACAACAAAAACAACAACATTACCCCAATGCCGCAAAGGCTCCCACCAACGGTGAAAATAGTAACCATATGCATAAACAAATTTTAATTTGTCATAATGGATCCAATTGTTATTGCAACAACTTTAAGATCCCTAACTCATCCATATTGATGATTTCATTTCCTGAGAGGCTGACATGGTGTTTCAAATATACTGTTCGCTTTTATTTTGCACTTCTATACTCATGCTACAGTGAATTAATTGAACTTTGAATGTGTGACATAGATATGGAATGTGGATAATGAAAATGGAAATGTGCTCAAGCCATTGGATATTTTAGATAAACGACCAATATAATAACCAACCAACCATACGTAACACTGAATAACATAGTTTTAATTTCTATAAATTCGCTAACTACTATATAACATATGATGTTCCCACATTTTAAAGATCCTAGTCCATTCATGTTTCCTTATACTATATATATTGAATGTATTGTTCGCCTTCTAGACAAGGGCTCAGGTGAGTTGATTGAAAATGTGAAAATGGAAAAAGAAAATGCTTTAGAAATCAGACCATTGGATGTTTTTTATAGATGACCAATAAAAATTTCTTAGTTTCTATATTCTAATCGTTCTATTTGTCTACTCCCACCCATGCATTGTTGGAAGAATATATTTTGTTCATTATTTGTGATCAATGACAACCATATAACATGAGATTTTTTTTAAAAATATCTATAGGGATTGTCAAACAGGAGGACGGGAGCAACAAGTATTAATGCTGAGAGTTCTCGTTCCCATAGTGTATTTACATGTGTGGTTGAATCACGCTGCAAGGTAATGCCCCTCTTCTTACCACATTTACTGTAGACCCCCCTGAAGTTTTATTTTGGAGAAGCTTGACTTCTCACACAGTAAAAGCAGCCTATTTTTAAGACATCTCTGATAGTAACATGGTGTATGAACATACATGTATAGACTTGCTAGGGTAAGTCCTACTGTTAATGAATACTACGTATTTGCTATGAGTATATGACATAGTACTTGTCTTGTGTGTGTTTCAACTGACAGAGCAAAGCAGATGGATTAAGCAGCCGAAAGACAAGTAGAATAAATCTTGTTGATCTTGCCGGATCAGAGCGACAAAAGCTGACTGGTGCAGCTGGAGAGAGGTTAAAGGAAGCAGGGAACATCAATCGATCTCTTTCCCAACTTGGGTATAGTGTAAATTGTCAATGATTACTTGTTTGGTGTCTGACTGTGTGTTATGTGTAAAAAATCGTTACTTGTTTATAGATAATTTTTTATTTTAATTCTTTATTTCCTAAGTAAGTTGGTTTTAGATGTTTAGGATTTAAGATTTGTGGCTTTATTGACTCAAATATAACTCTTGCATATCAACTCACATATGCCCTCTAACATTTAGCTAATCAGCAATTGAGTTCTCTAACATGAAAACCTGCAATGAAGCACATGTACTCGAAAACATGATGCAATTAAGCATTTTTTAACCTATTCTAAACCTACGACTCTCTAAACATGTGGTGTGTATGAGTCTTCGATTGATACGCCATAAGCATACAGAGTGCTCTCTGTCTATCTCTATATGCTCTCTGTCTATCTCTATATGCTCTCTTTGCAAAAGCCTAAAGAGTATTCTTGCATAGGGGTGAAACTGAACTCATGTGACTAGGTCGGGTTCTTTCTCTCCTTGTTTACGGGCTCCCATTGGGAAGGCTACAGGCTTGATGCACTCAGGGTAGTTGATGCACCTCATTGAGCTTATTGCTAGACTAGACAGGGTCCATCGCTTCAAAAGTACATATAGTCAAGTCAAAAGGCACTTTTATTGTTTGAAAAACACAAAGCATTCAAGCTCACTTCCAAAGTAAAATAAGATTCATGGGTTGTGTAGTGTGGTGTTTGTGACTTAAAAAAACATCAATTGAGAAACTACATATAGCTGTATGGTGATATTACATGAAGCTTGAAAAATAGATAAAATAGCTATATGGGGTGATAAGCGATAACTGATAAATGGTCACTGTGCTGATATATATATATATCAATTTCATTTTTATGTGCATATCCTTTTTTGGTAAGAAAGAGATATCTGTAACTTGTAAAATCAGTACATATCTTATAGCTGCCTCTTAAGCATCTTCTAGTGTAGCTTCTTTGATGTTTAGGTTGCTGTATTTTCGCTATCTGCTTCTAATTTCTATTGTTTCTTGACTCTATAGGAACTTAATAAACATTCTTGCGGAAGTTTCACAAACAGGGAAGCCAAGGCACATTCCTTATAGAGATTCCAAGTTGACGTTTTTATTGCAGGAATCTCTAGGAGGAAACGCAAAACTGGCAATGATCTGTGCCATTTCTCCATCTCAAAGGTGAGAGTGTGAGACTAAACCCTTCTAGGGTGCGAATGCTTTTCCCTTCTTATTTATTATTTGTTTTCTAGTCTTTTCTCAATGGGGGAGAATTTTATACGGAAAATGCAGCTGTAAGAGTGAGACTTTTAGTACACTGAGATTTGCCCAGCGAGCAAAGGCAATCAAGAACAAGGCAGTTGTGAATGAAGAAATGCAGAATGATGTGAATTTCTTGAGAGATGTTATACGGCAACTGAAGGTGTGTGTATATGCCTCTATTCTCTGTGAATTCTTTTTGTCATGATATTTCTGTTTAAGAATAAAGAGTGGTGGACTGGTGGGTATAAACTAGTGTTAGATCATGTTGTAAGTGCCTATGTAATTCCTAAGTGGTATCACTTAAAAAAATTGTCCTCTTGTTTACTTTTCTTATCGCACTGAACACCTGTCTTCTGTGCCTTTTATTTTTTTCCCCTCCTGAACAGGATGAGCTAATTCAAATGAAGGCCAATCAAAGAGATCAAAATGGAAATTATTCTTCTGGATGGAATGCCCGGAGAAGCCTGAATTTGTTAAAATTCAGCCTTAATCGATCAGCCGCATTGCCGTATGTAGATGATGATGGTGATACACTAATGGAGATTGTTGAAGAAGCGGAAAGGTTGGATCTTCAGTCCAATAGGGGAAATACTGGAACAGCAAAGGCATGCACTGTAGATGTTCATGAAGAAAACATGGACACAGAAAACACTCCGGAGAAGTCTCCAGTTTGCTTGAAGGATGATTCAGTGCCTAATCTCAGTATACTTCCATGTGATATTCTCAAGTCTCCAACACCAAGTGTTTCACCAAAGATGAATACTAGCAGCAGTAGGAAAAGCCTTAAGACATCATCTATGCTAACTGCCTCTGAAAAAAATCTAATAGAGAATGAGTTGGATGCTCCACAGCCACCCTTAACAAAGCCTTCGAGCAGCACCTGTTTGCATTCTGCGTCAAGAAAAAGCAAAAACTGTTTTACATCAACTGCACATTTGGCTGCAAGTCTTCATCGTGGTCTTGAAATCATTGGTAGTCATTGCCAAAGTGTGTCCTCAAGAAAGTCATCATTCAGATTCTCTTACAGACCTGCTGAACTTAGAGCAATAGTGCCTGTTGCTAAAGTTGATGTGGGTGTTCAAACTGCTCTTAATGGCCATGAACCACTCGAAGACGGTTCAATATATTTATGTAGTAAGTGCAAGACAAATAATTCTATGCAAGCACTCAATGATGTCACGAGTGATAGCTCGAATCTGCAGTTGGTGCCTTTTGATGGGTCACAGTCTTGCGAGAAATTCAAGGTTCAAGTCCCTAAAGTAAGTTTTTAAAGCCTGGAATGGTACATAGAGGTTAATTATAACTTTTTTTTACGTATCTTTAACGGTTCACTACTTTTCAGGCAGTAGAGAAGGTTCTGGCAGGAGCTATACGAAGAGAAATGGCACTGGAAGAAATATGTTCTAAGCAAAACTCAGAAATTTTGCAACTAAATCGTTTGGTAAGTTATATCTCCCTCAAGCAAGAATTTTATAGTTTTTTATGGTTTCCATTTATATGATCTTTCCTTTCACCACCGCCAACCTCAGATTCAGCAGTACAAACATGAGCGAGAATGCAACTCGATAATTAGTCAAACACGGGACGATAAGATTGTACGCTTAGAGAGCTTGATGGATGGGATCCTAACAACTGAGGACTTTTTAGAGGATGAGATGATGTCACTAACTCATGAGCACAAGGTATGCTTCTCTCCTTTTTGAACCCTGAAAAGTAATAGGGAAAGAAAGCCTAGGGGAAATTGTAACGAAAGATAATGTGAGAAAATAGATATGAAAAGTTACCGAAGTCAATAAATTTAATATAACATATTTGTTGATAATATGTATTTCATCGTCAAACACTCAAAACGATCGTAAGAAAATAATTTTTTTAAACATTGTTATCTATTTCCTTGGCATTTTCTGGGATGCAAACATATCCTTTAACTATATAGCATGTGGATTCGTTTTCCTCATCATGTACTATTAATTTGCTTTCAGATTCTGATAGAAAAGTACGAAAACCATCCTGAACTATTGAGCACAAGAATAGAGCTATCTCGAGTTCAAGATGAGCTGGAAAGGTATCGTAACTTCTTTGACTTGGGTGAGCGGGAAGTTCTATTGGAAGAGATTCAGGATTTGAGAAGTCAACTTCAGTTTTATGTAGACTCATCACCTAAGACATCAAGAATGCAAAGCCCATTGCTGCAATTAACATATGCATGTGAGGCAAGTGTGGGAACAGAGCCCATTTCTGCCATCCCAGAACCCCCCGTAGAGGATAATGCCGAGCATATACTCGAGAGGGAGAGGTTGCAATGGACAGAAACAGAGAGTAAGTGGATTAGTCTTGTGGAAGAACTGAGAGTAGAGCTCGAAGCCAGCCGGAGACTCGGTCTTAAGCAAAAGACTGAACTTGAAATGGAGAAGAAGTGTTCTGAAGAGCTAAAAGAAGCAATGGAAATGGCCATGCAGGGCCATGCAAGAATGCTTGAACAATATGCTGACCTGGAAGAAAAACACATCCAGTTGCTTTCTAGGCACAGAAAGATCCAAGATGGGATCGAAGATGTTAAGAAAGCAGCTGCCAAGGCAGGAGTAAGAGGTGCAGAATCTAGATTCATAAATGCTCTTGCTGCAGAGATTTCTGCACTTAAAGTTGAAAGAGAAAAGGAGAAGCGGTTTTTCCAAGAAGAAAACAAAGGTCTTCAGTCCCAATTAAGGGATACTGCCGAAGCTGTTGAGGCTGCTGGTGAATTGCTTGTTCGCCTTAAAGAAGCCGAGGAAACTGTTGAAGCTGCCGAGGTAACTTTGGATTTCTATAGTTCATTTCACATTTATGTATGTCACTATTGTGAAATTTATGTGTTATGCATTTATGTTATTCTGTGTGCTTATATTTCTGTAACATCATTTATAGCATTGTGGTTACGCTTCATTTTCTCTTGGGATGATTTGGGGGCTTCTCGAAATGCCTTGCTGTTCTAAGTTGTTTCTTCACAACAAATGCATTTCTGGAGCTGCTCACAAACTTATTAACCTTCATCATGCACCTTTTTTCAATTATGAAGTCATTGTCGGAAAGGATAAGCGGGTAGTCATGTTGAGAAATTGTGGTAAAAGAAGACTTAAGATAGCTTGGTCTCATAAAAGTTACTCACAGACCTCATAAATATTACTTGCAGGAGAGATATCTCAATTGGAACAAATGAGATATAACAGGAAAACTTAATTTGATTTTCTTTATGATGGTAGGATCTTATTTTTATTGAATATTCATAAGATATTATGAAGGGGAGCCTTGGCGCAACGGTAAAGGTGTTGCTCATAAGATATTATGAAGGGGAGCCTTGGCGCAACACATTAAGTATTTGATGTTTCCTTGTAGTCTAACAAGGACTTCCTATCGAAAATGTAGGGTTAGCCGGTTAGGTAGTCAGTATTTTGTCCTAAGATGGCATAGCTCTCAATCGGAATGAATGACATTGCTTGACAAAGCTCTCAACTGGAACCAATGGAGTGATAAAATCCCACATAATTTGGTTTTGTTTATGATGTAGGATCTATTTTTTATTGAATAATAATTCACAAGACATTATTTGTTTGACGTTTTCCACTACTCCATCGAAAAGGCGTGGTTAGGTAGCCTATAACGACTAGGGTATGCAAACTGGGTTACAATTACATGTCCACAAGTAGACAGTTTGAATAAAAGTGCTTAAAATTTTGAACACCTTTAACTCACCAAGCCTCCCTATTACGTTAGACTACAGTGAAATCTATGTGTCCATTCTTTCCATTTCTAATGCATTTCAACCTCAATATAATAATTTGCAGAAACGGGCTATGGGCGCAGAGCAAGAAGCCAGCAAGGCTTACAAACAGATCGAAAAAATGAAGAAAAAGCACGAACACGAAATCAACAGTCTGAAACGGTTAATTGAAGAATCTACTACTAGTAAACCACATAAAGAAGCCGAACCACAGGTTTATGATTCACGAGAGACCCAGAACACTGTTGGGGATCAACAGTGGAGGGAAGAGTTCGAGTCATTCTATCAGACTGAAGATGAGCTCTCTAAATTAGATCCCTCTTCATGGTTTTCTGGTTATGACCGTTGCAACATATAGGATTTTGAAAAAGAACAAAAAAATTGATGTTGTATGTATGGTACCAATGTAAGTTTGTTATATACAAAAGTTTGGCTCATTTTTTTTTACTTTTACCTTTACGGCACGGCACTAATTGCTAGATGAACAATTACAAATGTATGTGTTTGGTATAATATTTGTTCAGGGGGTGTTGTGGGACAATTGTTCTATTCTTTAGTTCTTTCAACAGCTGAAATGCATACCCTTCACGTGTGTTTGCTCACTTTAGACACAACTGGAGCATCCAACGGTATTTGTGATATGCTTGTTTGATGCTGATCTTTGCCGTCTCTATTACCTTATTTAAAAAAATGTTTTAGTTTCGTATTGCAGGGACAAGAACACATGCAAGCCCAACAAGTGCAGCCATTCCTGTCAAATATGTGTAAAGGGGTATATGATATATGCTTGCTTTGCTCTTGAATCCCTATCACCTACCTACCTTGCTGTATGAAGTTCATCTGACCTATAGCTATGGACCACTTTGTGTGACTCATTGGTCCAATATCTTTCAACACTTTTGCCCTATAAATTATTAAACATGGAATTATTATATTAATTCTTTTAAAATACAATACAATGTTTAGATAAGTTATTGCATAACTTGAACTTATTCATTTGTACACTAATCTATATGCAAGTAAATTTATAAATAAAAACAATCTTGCACTCTATCTCTAAATTATCTCTATAATTTCCCTTTTGAACCATCATAAGCCATTGTTTGAGAAAATCCTTGTTTGTTTCACAACTCACGCTATATCTCTCATTAATAAATTCTGACCAGACAATTTACTTTTCTTAAACATTGTGGAGGTCAAACTTGCATGTTAAATTGAGGAGGGGGAGTCATATTTAGAATATACTCTCTTAGTTTCAAATAGTTAAAGTATTGTAGATGTAAGGATAAAAATAGCTTTATGGTGATCTTTTGCTTCTTCAATATTATACACTTCTTAAAAGTGTATCAATATTTTGTAGTTAATATGAAAAGGGAAAAATCAAACCATAAATAAGAATTCATTTTTATCTTAAAAGTTTAACATAAATTGTTAAACTTTTACATATGAAAAGGGAAAAATTGTTCTGATTGTTCTCTTGTAATACGTAGTAATCATCTATGAGTGAGCTCTTGTAATCTTTTTCTTTTGAAACACATATTTTACATATGTCTCTAACTCTCTAAGGAGGGGCAAGAGGAGCCACACTCCTTTTTTTGCGATATAGATATATATAAAATTACATGTAATCTCTCGGAAGAATGTGTCCAAATGTGAAGCTTTCACCCCGTAGTATAAATTGTTCAAATATTGTCTCTAAATCTTCCTGTCTCCCAAAATTATGCCTACATTACTTTCCCGGAAACCATTTACTATCTTTAACCGTTAGATAAGTTTCAACTACATATTTTTTGCTTAAACACTCCCCCAATCAAATTTGATTGTTTATTTAAGAATGGAGGCAGTATTGAGTTTTCGCTCCACCACCGGAGAGGGATAAGGCGGGTCCCACGACTCTACACGTAGAGACATGTAAGGACAGTTGAAATAGCCCAAGAATGAACATAGATGTTTAATTGCTCAAGGATAGGGGGCAATGCTGAAGGGACGCAGACTAGTCTGCCATTGCCAGAGGCACTGCATATATGCATTATTAATGAAAGATGGAAGCTTAGGTTGAGAGATGCGTAGACCATTCAACCACTATCTTGTGGGATTGTCTTCTTCTGACATGTAACTCTTCCAGTTTTGGGACCATTCTGCCTTAAAACACATCCCTTCACTCACTGGCATACATGATAGAAGAAAAAGGAACCAAGTAGGCTCCAACCCCAAGCGGCCAAGCCGTACGCTAGCCATTGAAATGAAAGTATGTCAATTTTCGAGTTCTTCCACATTTACATTTTTGGAAACATGAACTTAAATATGGCCCCTGAAGTGGAGCTGGCATTTCGTGTTTTTTTGGGTGAATGCACAACTTATGCATATCTATAAGTTGCTCTTCAATGACACGCATCTACTACACTTAGAGATGGCAATTGTGACCGATCCGATGGATACCCGCACTGAACTGCCCCGGTCAAAATGGGGAAAACCGCATTGACCGGGTAATGGGTACGGGGCGGGGAATATCCGTTTTGTTTTTACGGGTAACGGGGCGGTTATGGTTTTATGCATGCCCGCCCCATTACCCGCCCCGTACCCGCCCCGTTTATTGTTAGTTATATTTTTATTACATTCTTATCTATTATTTGTCCCACAACTAATAAAAGATGAGATTTTTAATGTTCATTGTGTGTATATATGGATAATAGATGTACTAACTATAGTGTAAGAATGAAAGTTCCGATAGAACTTAATAGCCTTGTTTGATTATTACTTCGTATATGATTTTTCGTGATTAATTACTTTTCAGATTAAGTATTTTTAGGTTCAAATTAATTTAGGTTGTCTTCTTTCTCGTCTTATAGATATATGAAGCTTTAAAGTGGCGTCTGAGTCTAGCGTCGTCTAGGTGATGCCATTTTTCGTCTTTTAAAATATTATTTTTTTATTCAAATATTAATGACTAATTTAATAAAGTGATTACCCGCGATTACCCGCGGTTATAACCGTTACCCGTTGGGGCGGTTATGGTTTGGGTAAAAATTACCCGTTGGGTAATGGGGCGGTTATGGGGCGGGAGAATTACCAAACGGGGCGGGTACGGTTATATGTAAAACCATCCCCGATCCGCCCCGTTGCCATCCCTAACTACACTAAGTACATGCTTTTTTGTTGTCTAAAATGTATGATTTGACCTTAAGTTTCGAGTCCCTTCTAATGTGTTTTATTTAGTGTCGTCTAGTTTAGTCTAAGTGGTTAAGGATTTTTTAATTAGATTGAAATCTTGTGGTCTGGTTTAGTAAATGTCCACATATTTAATGTTGTCCGACCATTTGTAGTGGTGGAGAGGTCAAAATTTAAAAAATGGACTCCTCCGTAGTGGTGTCGGACCAAATGTGTTTAGATCATATTTCCCCGCATTCCAAAACCGTCAATAAAATATACTCAACATATTCCTTTTTATATTTTCTGTAATAATAATGAAATAAAAAATAAACATTTCTATGAAAAAAATAAATTTCATTATTTTTCAACCTTTTTCAGTTAACAAAAAATGAACTTAGTTCGATTGTGGAATATTTAATTATTGTGAAGACTCCATAAATTAAAATTTTGTATTTGTGTTTTTTGGACCCAAGAAAACTTCAACAGTTAAAATTTAGATTATTTTTTTCATTTATATATTACATATTTGTGTCATATGAAAGATCATAAAATTTATGAATTTTTATATATATTTTGAAAATTTTGGAAAACAAATAAAAAAGTTATACAAGTTAAAAAATTAAAATATTATGATGCAAGGATGATGTCAGCATGACGTCATCCGCACCAAAAGCAAACTTGGGGCCGTCCAATTCTTTTCTTTTTCCTCTTCCCACTCCTCTCAACACCCTCTACATTTAACCCCCTTCACACCCGGTTTCCCACTTTTAATACCCTTTTAAACTCACTACATACAATTAGGAGTCCTAAACCTCCACAATTAGTCATTTGGACTCCTAATACCTCACCACTACAAATAGTTTCAAGGCCGTCTAATGAATTTGGAGTCCTCGGTTCCAAAAGACATATTGATGACTTTTAAAACAAGAAAGAATACAAGTTTTAACAATGAAATACAAATAAACTAGATAATGATGGGAAAAGAATCATCATATAATCAAGATCAAATAACATTACAATGAATCATAATAATAAATCTATAAAAACTTATTTGGAGAGTATCCAATGTTCATTTGGGGGAGATTGAAGGAAGATAATGTCATTACTCTCAGAAAATAGATGTGTAATCCCTAAAACGAAAAATGATAGATGAAGTATATAATTTAGGGAGTTGTGATTTCCCTAATTCTTTGAAATATAAGTTTTATAATGTGTAAAATATACAAATTAGACAAAGTAAAAGTTATACACCTTTTGAAATTTGGATTAATGCATAATTATCTAGAAAAATTAATCTATAACTACTACTCACACATACTAATTTTTGGGAGGCCCCTATAAAAGTGAGCCCTGTACCAAGAACTTATTGCACTTTTGAAAAGACGGGCACTGACTATTATTCAAGTTTTATCTGATATGATCTAATATGACTTAACCTGATCTGAAATATAATTATTGTCTATTGTCTTAAATATTATAGTTTCGTACGGTTAAAATTGAAATTAGTAATAAGAAAAGGTTGCCAGACCATATATTCACAATGAGTGGCAAGGGGACTAGGTATTTTCATGCGATCGTGAGGAAGAAGAACGTGAGGAATGCCATTTCTTCTATCACGCTAGAGGATGGCAATCTCACCACATCCTTGGAGCAAGTTGGGGATGAATTTGTAAATTTTTTTTGTTAATTTGTTTGGTACCTTTTCCGAATGCACCTCTAGACCAAGCGGTCTTGGAAACCGGTCCTATGATTGAGCCAAGTGCTCATGATGGCCTTCTTGCTCCGGTTGAGACAATAGAGATTAAGAATGCTCTATTTGACATCGGCAATGACAAGGCACCGGGACCGGATGGTTATTCGTCCGCTTTTTTTAAATATAATCGGAACCTTCTTGGGGATGATATAGTCCGGGCCGTCAAAGAGTTTTTTCGTTCGGGAAAACTTTGTAAGCAAATAAACTATACGGTTATTGCGCTTATCCCAAAAACGAATCACTCACCGAAGGTGTCGGACTATAGACATATCTCTTGTACGAATGTGATGTATAAAATCATTACAAAAATCCTTGCGGCTAGACTCTCTCCTTGCCTTCCCGGATTGATTGACCTAGCCCAGGGTGCTTTTGTTGATGGCCGCCTCATGTTTGATAACATTTTTCTGGCCCAAGAACTTGCTAGGGGATACATGAGGAAGCAAATCTCACCTAGATGTATGATCAAGGTAGATTTGCGTAAGGCATATGATACGATCTCTTGGGAATTTCTTCATGAGGTCTTAAGGGGTTTGGGCTTCCCCGCTAGATTTATTGGTTGGATTATGGAGTGCGTAACCACGACTTCCTTTTTCATATCTTTGAATGGATGTTTGTATGGTCATTTTGAGAGAAAAAG